GGCGGTGTTACAGACTCCAAAGATGTTAGATGATGGAGTCAAATGAATCTGGGGTTGAATCCCAGTTTTGCCATTGCTAAGTGAGATCTTAGGCAAATTCCTTAACCTCTCTAGGGTTCATTTTTTTCATCTGTAAATGAAAAGAATAAAATTTACCTCATAAGGTTACTGGAGTGAAGAAGTGACCTAATGCCTCTGTAAACACTCAATGAATAGTGGTTACCACTACCCTGCAGGATTATACATTAATTAGAGAAGATCATGTAAAGTGCTTGACACACAGTAAAGACTTAATATATAATAATCTTTTAAAAAATTTAATTTCACCTCTCTTCTTCTAAGCGTATTACTTCAATAATCTAACATCTAGTTCCAGTCATCTTATCTATTCCCTACAATGCCTCTACAAGGCTCCTGTTTTCAGGATAAAATCCAAATTCCTTCTCATGACATACAAAGCTCTTTACGACCTTGTCTGTCCTTGTCCTTATGTCTTAAGGCTCATCTCCTGCCATTACATTAGTCCCAATCCCATCAATGTCAGAAGTGTCACATTCTCTCAAGAGCCAATATTTTTACAATGCTTTTCCTTTTGCCTAGAATTCCCATGTATTATTTTCCCCAACCCAATTAGCATTTTCTCTCATACTACTGCTTCTAATCCTTCAAAACTCAGCTCAGGAAGTCTTCCCTGGCCTGCTATATCATATCCCAAATTTTGGGTTCAAAACACAGTCTCTGTGCTCTCATGTAGTCTTGTAATTTTTTTCTTCTAATGATATTATGAAAATACTTTCTTTTACTTGAGGTTTTTATAAGAGAAATTAGTAACACTGCTTTTTTATAAATGTCCTTGTTAGGTTGGTATTAAGGTAATAATGGCCTCTATAATTATTTGGGAAGTATTCCCTGTTTTCTATTCTCTGGAATATTTTATGTAAAACTTTTTCCCTTAAATATTTGGCAACTAATATTTATTGAACACATACTACATGCCAGGTTCTGTATTAAGCATATTTACATGTTATCTCATTTAATGCTCACAGCAACTTTATGAGGTATAATACCATTATTATCCCTGGTTTATAGAGAAGAAACTAAGGCTCACCGATGTAACTTTCCCAAAGTCACACAGCTGGTAGGCAGCAGAGCAGGAACTTGAACACATCTCTCTCCATGTTCTTAACCACATGCTATATTGTCTTGTAATACTTAATATACAGTATTGTAATTATCTGTTCATTTATCTGCTTCCCCGTTAGTCAGTAAGATCCCTGAATAGTGGGATCATGTCTTTCATTTTTTGCACCCCCTAAGTCTAGCATCATGTCTACCAGTTATAGATGCTCAATAAATAGCTGCTAAATGAATGAGTAAGGACATATCATTTGATTCTTATTACAGCTGAATGAAGTAAAGCAGCTTTTATCAGTTCCTGTTTAGAAAGCAGAATACTGCTAAAGTATTTTGTCTTTAAGTTAAATCATATAACCTCCATGCAAAAAGCACAAATAATTTAGTTTCTTCAACCAGGAAAAAGCCAAAAATAATTTTTAATTATTTGCAAACTATCAGCAAGATTTAATTTTCTGATACCACTTGTAAGACAGAGACCTTCATATTTTTTCTAGGATCAAGCATATAAATCTAAGAAGAAAAAGATTATCCAATGAGAAAATGGCAATAAAACAAAAGCCTTAAACAGAAGAGCTTTCAAAAAAGGTCAGCAGTATAGCTAAAGAATTCCCCACTGAGTATGCCATGTGCTAGACATGTCATAAAAAGATTTAGGTTAGACATAAAATACCCATATCAAGGATGTCTTAGCTTCAGTTAAATGAACTAAATTTCCATTCTATCTTTTGCCTGACGAGTCTGTACAATGCTTACATATGGGTACTATAGAACTGAAAGTTTTTTTGATGCAGATCAGATCATAATTATGGCTAAACAACTAGCTTATAGTAAGACAAATCTGGCCTACATATAAGAGTGAACTTCTGAGCCAACATCTTTAGATTCTGAAATTTATCCAGGGAGATTATACAATTATATCCTAAAGAACATTAAGAATAGAAAAATGCTTAAAATGTTTAAAAAGAATCCTGCCTAAAGGCTATCTTAGACAACTTCATGAGGATTTTTCCAAGCTTCCTCTACCCAATCCAAAACACACATACCACACAAACTTTTTCCATTAGAGCAGTTTTGTCAAGTTGCTTTAAGGACAACAGTATTATAACATACCTCAATGGAGGAAAAAAGTATGTGAGAATAAAAACATATCAAAAGAACTATAAAACATCTCACAGAAAAACAATTCTCATTAGGGGATTGATCACACAAATATTTCAGAAGTCCTTGTACTCTCTATTGCAAAACAAACAGGGCATTCAGCAGCAAGGGGCCCCTTACAGTGCAGATATTGCTTAGGCTCCCAAAGTCAAATATACTGATAATTTAAAAAATGTTGAAAATTAACAAATGCAGAATGACTAGAAAAAATATATATTTATTTCCACCATCCAAAGATAATTCTAAAACATCTTGGAATGTTTTATTTTAGTCATTTTTTTCCATTATCGGTGATACTGCAAAAAGCTTTGTTTCCATTGGGTTTATGACTTAGGAGAAGTTCAGGGGTATTTAAGCTGCTGCCCTGGGGCAGGAGGCAGAGGCTCAGGCAGAAGCTCCAAGAATAGGGGCCTTCAGTAATGCCCCTCTCAAAGGTCACTGGGTAATATTTTACTTGGGACTTTTACATTAATGTTCATGAGAGAAATCAGTCTGTAATGTTGCTTTCTAGTAATGTTTATGCTGGTCTCTACAATTATTTGGAAAGTATTTCTTCTTTTCCATTCTCTAGAATAGTATATGTAAAACTTAGCAATATTTTTTCCCTTAAATATTTGGAAAAAATCTGTTAGAGAAGACATGTGAGCCTGGATCTGAGCTTGAATTTTTTAATAAGATTTTAAATAACTGATTTAATTCTTTAAGTGTTATGGGAGATCTCCCTTTGGGTGTGCAGCTTGTGGAGTCAATTGGGTCATGCTCTGATGTGATCTATTTCCTTGGGCCAGGGAAACAAAAAATAAGCAAATGGGACTATATCAAACTAAAGAGTCTTTGCACAGTAAAGGAAACCATTAACAAAATGAAGAGACAATCTACTGAATGGAAAAACAAAACAAACAAACAAAAATAGAAACAGACTCACAGATACAGAAAACAGACTGACAGCTGTCAAGGGGGTGCTTGGGAGCCTGCAAAAAAAAAAAGACACACACACCTCATAGACACAGACAACAGCATGGGGGTTACCAGAGGGAAAGGGGAACAGGGGGAAGTAGAAGACAGTAAAGGGAGGGCTAATGGTGATGGAAGGAGACTAGACTATGGGTGTAAAACACACAATACAATATGCAGATGATGTATTATAAAACTGTATACTTGAAACCTATTTAATTAACCAATGTAACCCAAATAAATTCAATTAAAAGACAGCATAAAGACCTGAACAGGAACCTCACCAAAGAAGATATACAGATGACAAGTAAGTACAGTTGAACATTAAACAACATGGGTTTCAACTGAGTAGGTTCACTTACATGTGGATATTTTTCAATAAATATACAGTTGGCCCTTTGCATCCCCTAGGTTTGCTGGTGTTTCCATCAGCCACCACAGACAGAAACTTGGTAGATACCGAGTCATATGCATTGTTCTGTGCCACCATATATAAGGGACTTGAGCATCCACAGATTTTGATATCCATAGGGGTACTAGAACCAATCTCCATCGATATGAGATTACTACAGTTAAATTTTAGGGGAGTCAAAAGTAATATGCTGATTTTCAACTGTGCAGGGGTGCCCATAACCCCTACACTGTTCCAGGGTCAATTGTATATGAAAGGATGTTCCACATCATATGTCATTAGGGAACTGCAAGTTATAAGAATGAGATATTACTAGATACTTATTGGAATGGCCAAAAGCCAAAACACTGACAACACCAAATGCTGACGTGGATGTGGAACAACAGCTTTCATTCACTGCTGGAGGAACACAAAATGGTATGGCTACTTTGAAAGAAAGTTTGGCAGTTTCTATCCACAGTAAACAAACTCTTACCATACAATCCGGCAAATGCACTCCTTGGTATTTACTCAAAGCAGTTAAAAAATTATGCCCAAATAAAACCGGCATATGAATATTTATAGCAACTTTACTCACAGTTGCCAAAGCTTGGAAGAAACCAAGATGTCATCCAGCAGGTGAATGGATAAACTGTGGTACGTTCAGATAACAGAGTATTACTTAGCACTAAAAGAAATGAGCTATCAAGCCATGAAAAGGCATTAGAGGAACCTTAAAGCATATTACTAAGTGGAAGGAGTCAACTGAAAAGGCTTTCTGGCTACATACTGCGTGATTACAACTCTGTGGCATTCTGGAAACAGCAAACAACGGCGACCGTAAAAAGGTGAGCAGTTGCCAGGGGCCAGGGGAAGGAGAGATGAACAAATAGGTGGCGCCTGGGGTTTTGGAACAGTGAAACTATTCCGCATGGTACTGTACTGATGGGTACACGTCATTATACATTTGTCAAACCTGTAAGAACCGACCACACCAAGAGTGAATCTGAATGTAAAATGCGGACTATAATGTGCCCACACAGGGTTATCAGTTGTGACAAATGTCCCGCTGTGGTACGGGATGTTAACAGTAGAAGAGGCAGTCCATGTGCAGGGGCCAGAAGTAAATGGGAACTCTTTGTACTTTCTGCTTAACTTTGCTATGAACCTACAACTGTTTAAAAAAAAAAAAGTCTATTTTAAAAACATAGCTCTTAACCATCTATTAATACCTCTATCCAGATAAAAAATAGTTGTTCCTGTTATGGGTCAAAAGGAAAAACCACTAGCTGATTATTTCTAAAACTTAGCTTCTGAAATCTGGTAATTTAAGGATCACCATGCAGGTGAAAGAACTCACTTTTCAATTCTCTTCCTGTGTTCTTTTTGCCTCTGCTGCTCTTTTACTTGCTCTCTTTCAATATCCATGAAAAGGCGTCTGTATCTCAGATACCGCTTTTGACGCTAAAGGGAAGAAGTTAAGATTGTTAAGATTCTGCTCTCAGGGCACTTTCCAGGAAGGAAAATATCTTTGTGCCTTAGACAAGAAAACTATATGACATAGAAGTCGCATGGAACTAAGTCCTTAATTTCCTCCTACTTATGGTGGTCAAGATAATATCACATACAGCAGGAGCTTTATATTTTCAAGCACATAGCTATTCTATTTACAGACAAGTCGGAGAACGAAGTACTCATTTGGTTTGTCCTTAGTGTAGTCCCTTGTCAACAGCACTTGAGGAAATGACTATATCTGATACGATAAAACATATACTGTATTTACCATTCCAAAGTAGTAAGTACCACAGAAGCAGGGCCACAGAATGTGAAATGTACTTTATAACAGAACAAGTCACTAACTTTTCAAAATTAAAACCACACCACAAAAGCATACTCTAAGCCTAGCCTAACATGGGGAGGGGAGGAGAACTGAAGGAAATAAAAGCATCATACTTTCAAAGGGAACGGGTATAATGAAAGCAAGTACTACTACTATGTGTGATATGTCCATACCTCTGGATTTAGATATCCTCTCTTAAGGATACAAGCTACTCAAGGCACTAGTATACACAAAGACATGTTTTTGCCCATTGAGTAGCTTGTGTCCTTTTAGTAAAAACATTGAAAGTCTAATAGCGATTCTCAATATTGAAGATAAAGCACAATCATCAGTGATACTTTTTAAAAACACAGATGCCTCAAACCTGACTTTTCAGACACCGAAAAAAATATATCTAAAAAAAGCTCCACATCTGGTTCTAGTGCATGGCCAGTGATAAAAACTGTTGGTTTTAAACTAATTCTGGATTGAAAAGGGGGGAAAAAGGAAGCCATAAATTAAAACTCTTCTTCTAAATAAGTTATTATGGCAAATATCACTAACTGAAGAAATTCACTAGGATCACATCTCTGATTTTGCATCGAGGTACCCTAAATCTTAGGAGCTTAGAGAAGTTTAGCACATTATAATGACTTAAGTAATTTCTTTGCCTTTATCTATGGAATTTGTAGTATTAGCTCTTAATTCTTAGGACACAACAAATTATCTCCAATTTCACAAATACTATTACAGTAGAAGCCCTGGTGTCCAAAAGCCATTATCGTTACATACCTCTTTCCTGTCTTCCTCTTGATCTGCTCCAAACCGAAACGTCGGTGGAGCTTGGCATTCAGTGCTCAATCTTGATTGACATTTATCACAAACCTGTTAAAAAGTCCAGGCACACCAAGTGATAAAACTGCCAAAAGCTAGTGCCATGCATGCTTTTGGTATTTTCATCTACTGAGTCTTTTCTCCTACAACCTCGAGTCCAACTGAATAAAACACCAAAATATATATAAGAGTAAAATCAAAACAGGAATGAAAGGGATCAGCTTTGGAATGAAATAACCAAGTAAAACACAATAAACCAAAGAACCAGGTTCAAGTCAAAACCACACAGGAACAGTAACAAACTGAATGCTCAGCAAGAACTTCGTTCTTCTTAAGTGGTCACTTAGAATCATTCCATTAGGAGTGTGACTGGGTCGAAGTCCAAGATACAAAACCAGTGCCCTTAATGTCTCAAATACGTAAGCATTTCCATTTATACAACTCTCCCGAGAATTTCTTGAGGAGCCTGAAAATATCATAACAAACAACCGACATGGCAAGGACACTGGAACTAATTTCTCCCATGTTACTAGGAAAGCCTTATGGTGTAACTTGCTATACTTAACTTGGACATCACACGGGTCAAATTATCTATAACTTTTAGAAATAAAAGCTCAAAATTACCTTTACCTTTTTAGCTTAAAAGTTGTTTATCTTTTAGGAAAGTTGCAGGATACAAGATCAGTATACAAAAATCAATTTTATTTCTATATATTTGCAATGAACAATCTGAAAACAAAATTAAGGAAAAAATCCGTTTATAATATCATCAAGAAGTACTTAGGCCCTGGCCCATGCTCTCAGTGGTTAGTGTGTTGGCCCTTGCACCAAAGGGTCCCAGGTTCGATTCCCGGTGAAGGGTACGTGCCTGGGTTGTGGGTTTACTCCCCGCCCCCCAGTCGGGGCTCATGCGGGAGGCAACCAATAGACGTGTCTCTCTCACATCAATGTTTCTCTCTCTCTCCCTCCTTCCCTCCCTTTCACTCTCTCTTTGAAAAGAGATGGAAAGAATATCCTCAGGTGAGGATTAACAACAAAAACAAAAAACAAA